GTCGCTCACTTAGCTTCAATAATAATGGAGGTAAATTATTACGTGGTTCTATAATTGAATAAACATATTTATTATTTAATAACAATTATATTTATATAAATATTTGTTCATATACCAATTCTTTCTTCAAGTAAATCTACTTCTTCTTCTTGAATAGAATTGATATTTTCTTTTGGAAGTTTTCCTTCTTCAATATTTGGAATTAAAAATTCATAATACATTTTTAGTAAAGACAATGCTCTTGAGCCATACCCCATCTATTAATATTTGTTAAAAAAATGTTAATTGTTGTCACTTAGTAATATAAATAATTAATTACACTTTGGTAGTCTGGATGTGTAGCAATGCGAACAATGCGAGCTCCAGCTAACGATGGGAATTGTTCATCTTGGAAACATCCAGATATTGTCCATGGTATAAGATCACCAGCTGCTCTTTTACCACGTTTCAATGCATCAGATGCTGATGTTTGAGATACTTCGCCTTCTAGACATAACTAAATAAAATATATAATAATGAAATTGACCCAAGAAATAGTAAGCTGTTCAATAAAACAAAATATATGTATTATAACTTAAAAGTGTACATACAAAAGTAACTACAATACCCAACTTCACTTGGAAAAAATTAGCAAATATATTAAATAGCACTCTGTGTATTTTTATTTGGATGTAATAACTAATAATTTTATTAGATGAACTTTTGCACAGAAAATTGAATTACAAGTTAAAACAATACATACTTAACATGGTCCAGAGTAAGTAATACTATATAAATTATTTTATAAAAGTAATTTATAATATTAAATAGACAACTTTGCAGATATACCTCAATTTTATCATAGAAAGGAATTGGAACTATAAAACTCAATATTTTTTTTACATGCTTTATAAATTTTGTTTTTACTTTATTTTAAAACAAACAAACTGTAATATTTAATTTATAATAGTTGGTGTGTGCAAATATATATGTTAACATTTATTTTTGACAAGAGACACATGAAAAAAAAAGAAACCATTCAATGGAGATCTTTATAAATCTGCTAAACAAATTAGGTAAATGATTGTTCAAGTGGTTTGAGAATTAACCAGTGACAAAAATACAATCTTTAGTAACTTGTTCTACTAAATATTGTTTAACGTTTGAAAATTCTCAAACTTCTTTGTAACTTTACTAATCAAATCTTAAATTATATCCATACTAACTTCTATTTAACAGTTCTCACTTATATTATACAAAGTGCATTAATGTAAAATTATAAGTTTCTAGACTCGGCAGTTTAAGCTCGGTATTGACATAAATCAATTTTATATTTTGTATTTATCATTATTTTGTTTTTTTAATATCAATATTTACCTGAATGACACATAAAACTTCAGGTAAGCTTTTAGTATTTACATCAACCGGGCCCAAAAGACAAAATAAATGATGTGCTGGAGCATCTGACATCATTTGAAGATCATTTGGACTATTCTATTAATTAACAAGAAACCATGTAAATCACAAATAAACTAAAATAATTTATAAAAATAAAATGATTTCTTAAAATATATACTTTATAATGTGAAGCTACATATAATGAAACAATTCGCTGTAAGAAAGCTTCTGATGCTTTATGGTAACAAAATAAAGTATCTCTATTAATATAATAAAGATCACATCTATCAGGTGGAGGACAGCCAGAGAGCAGTGGAGCAATATTTGTTGCATCAAGGCACAACAAATTAGTCAACCATTTTTCTACATCATCACCAGGTTTGTAACGAATAGATTCTTGTAAAGTCACCTATAACAAAATTAAATTAATATATTAAAAATTCTATATAATACAAGCAAAACTTTAGTGGTATAATGACTTTTAAATTTCTCCCTCTCACCTAGTACCAAGAATTTTATACAAGTTAAAATAATATTTAAAAACAAATATATATTAATGTCAGCTTTTTTAATTAAATTAAAATAGAAATAAGTAGACAACTAACTTCTTTTAAAAATCGTCCAGTAATAGCATTTTGACCAGCTTTATCATTTACATTATTGCCAATAGGTGTAGCTTGAGAGCGGAGCTGTTGCAATAATTTTAATGACAATGATCGACCAGTTCCTTCATAACTAAAACAAATTATAATTTTCTTATCTAAATATATTTCTGAGAATATGTTTACAAAAAATATAAATAATCAGATAAAAAATTTAACAGGTGTTGAAGAATTATCTATAAGTGGTAATTTGAACATTGATAGTCAAATATATTTATGAATAGTACAGTTCTAACTTACATTTGCTAGTTTTAATACTAAGGAATTTACTAATTATCAAACTTAAAGGTAATAGCATTTTCTATGGATTGTTAGAAGAATATTTTACTATTTTAAAATAGAAAAATTTGAAATATTAATTTGTACATACTTAAATTTTTTATAAAAATTAAAATATATATATAAAAAAAATTATACTTAACAGCGCATTTTCTTGGTTGTTGCATATGTTTGCTTTAGGTATCACGTCCTTTAGCATATTCAATTGTAACAAGTAATTTAACAACATAATGTTAACCAATAAGTTAGCAAAGTTATTAGAAAATTAATTTACTAATAGAAATCAACAAGTATAGCAAATACATAACACACATATAGGCATTAAATAAAATGCTTATAAAAACTCAATAATGAATAAAACCTAACAGGAAATTATCCTTAATTATTAAAATTTGTTATTTTTGAAAAATGCAAAAAATATTATTAACTTTTTGACAATTATTATAATTTTTCCTAGCATTAAAAATTAAATGGCAAATTTTCTTACTCCATAGAATATATGTCGATATGAAAATGTGCAAATTTTATAAAATGTAATTTACCCATTAATAGTAGAAGCCAAAAATACTAGATATGGACCAAGCATGGCCTTTACAAGTGGAAGTGGTATAGCAGCAGCTTCATCAATTACAACCAATTCTGCTTGACTTAATTTATTTGATTCGGTTGGAACTATATACTACAAACATATATGTAATAAATAGAAATAAAAATTTACAATTTAAAAGTATCCAAATAATATTAAAATAAATAGAACAAACTTGAATAGTTTGTCGATGATCTCGGAAAATATTTACTCGGATCAAAGCTTTATTATCATCAGGTTTGGTTGATCTAACTAATCCATAATCTAAATGTTCTTGATATCCAAGAGCGTCAAAACCTGGATTTAATCAAAATTTAAAGTGAAAATAATGTTATGAATAAAAAATTATTTTTAATACCCTTAAAAATAAATTCAAAAAATGTTTTTAAGTTTTCAGGTGAAGGTGATGTCACAAAAATATTTGAATAACCAAATGCAACAGCAGCAGCAACAGCTATTCCAAGAGCAGCAGATTTTCCTCTTCCACGGGCAGCTGTCAAAGACACAGTAGATCTAAGAGTTTTTTCAGAAATTGCTTCAATAAATGTCAGTAATGATTTAGCCTAAAATATAACACTATTTAAATAATTTTTCTTAAAGTGTATTAAAAGTACAAATATAAATAATTATAGAACAATTGTTAAATTTATTACCTGATCAACAGTTTTACAACAACTAACTAAACATCCAACCGGTTGTGTGTCTTTCATATTTTCTTTTAATGCTATTAATTCCTGATCGTTAATTGATTGAATATTAGTTTTTTCTTCGGGAACTAAATCAAGTACTTTAGATGAAATAGGCAACACTGTTAATTGATCATCAACTACTAAACATCGATTACATGATACTAAAGACAGCATGAACCTAGTTAAAAATAATTCACGATAAAAATTTTAATATAGAAAAAATTAAAAAATATTTTACCTTTCATTAAATCTAGCAACAATATCTTGATGAGCTTCAGTTCTAAATCGTTCATGAACATCCATAGTTAAAGTATATAATTGTTTTAATGATTTTAAAGACCGTAATAAAAATACTATTAATCCACCACCTTCTACAGTTTCTATAGTACGTGCTAATAAGTTTGGAGTCAAAGCTTCAAAATCCTTAAAACAATAATGATAAAAAAATAAATTAAAAAAAAAAGAACTTTTTTAACTTACTTGTAATACACACATGCCATATGTGTTGCCGAGAATTTTATGAGTTTCTGAATAATAGCAATATCGAATATTAGTAGAAGCAACAAATAATTCAAATGGATCATCTTCGTTTACATTGAGTTTACCAGCTTTGACTTTGTGTTGTATAGTTTTCATACGTTTCTTACGATGGCTAAATATAATTGAAAAAATGAATTTCAATTCTACATTATTCAATTAAAAAAATATAAATACCTGCTAAAACCTAATTCTTTTTTATAGCACCATAAAACATTAGGACGAGCTTTGACAGATGCTTTAGACAACATATGATGTAATATAACAACCTAAAATAGATGTATAAAATAATTAAATTAATTGATTTTTTTTTATACATAAACATATTGTTAAACACTTCATACACAAATATTTAATTTTATAATATTATAATGCAGGTATTATGTAGAAAATGTTGATTTATGTTACCTGATCACGGCCCTTGTCGCCAACAATTACAAACATAGTACGATGACCGGCTGTAACACTATTTTCAATCAGTGTCCTGATTCGATTATCGATTTTCTTACGAACCATGATAGATGTTAAATAAAATAATAATTTTACTGTAAAAAATTAGAAGTTTTTAAACAATTTTGAGATGGATAGTACATTTAAATTCAATTCAAAATAAATATGTATTAAAACCTATGATAAAGTAATTCAAATATACTCTTAACTTATAAGACATCACACACGTTTCTTATTACCATATTCAATATTGTAAGGTTATAATGGTTCACTACGAAAGTGGTCATTACACCTTATTGTGGTTACCATTACTACCACTAAATTAAGAATGATTAGATTGTGATAAAATTAAAAGTATTATTAAATAACTTGCATCTCGCGTGCTTATATATTACATAGTCACATTACTCACATTAATTTATTGTTAATTGTTAATTCCTTGATAGAAATATTCTTATTTCAGTTTCAAACGTTTTTTAATAAATAATTTGAAATATGGATTGCGACGAAGGAACCTCTTCCTGTAGTGATGTGATTGAAGATAAAACTGAATATGAATCTTTTAAATGTCCAGTTTGTCTCATAGTGTTGGGTATGGCTGGTTCAGGAAAAACCACATTTGTTTCAAAACTCAATTCATACCTAAAGCAATACAAAAGAGCTCCATATTTGATAAATCTTGATCCAGCTTGTAAAAACATGCCATACACACCAAATATAGGTATAAACCATCATGCAAATTTATTAATATAAAAAAAAAAAATTCTGAGATAGGTACTTAATATTTTATTATTATTGATAGATATTAGAGATTCTGTCAAGTACAAACAAGTTATGAAGAATTACAGTTTGGGTCCTAATGGCGCTATTGTAACTGCACTAAATTTATATACCACAAAATTTCATCAGTTAATGGACCTCCTAGGAAAAATAAATGTTGAAGGTAGTCATGATATAGCTGTCATAGACACACCTGGACAAATTGAAGTTTTTACATGGTCAGCATCAGGTCAAATACTTACTGAAAGTCTTGCATCAACATTCCCAACAATTGTGGTTTATGTTATGGATCTAGAAAGAAGTACTAGTCCAATAACATTTATGTCAAACATGCTATATGCATGTTCTGTATTATACAAAACCAAACTACCATTTATTGTAGTTTTGAATAAGGTTGGTTAAAAAAAAATTTTATATAAGTCTAAAAATGTAATTTAAATGGCTATACTCTGTCCACCAAAAGAATATAACTGGGTGGTAACTAAAACTCATCTATTGTATTGCATTCCCACTATTATACTATTCCTATAGTCTCCTGTTAAGATAACAATGCTGTGAAATTAACCACCAGTCACCGCGTAATGGTATAATTTGACCACAAATCTGTGGTGCTGGTACATTTGGATGATACAAAAGTGAGTTGCATTCTGTAGGTGGACAGATTTTATTTTTATTTATTTAGTTTTATTTTACTATGTCTATAAAATACGGTAAATTTAATTAAAATAAATAGGTTCAAATCTGTATTATACATTATAATCTTTTTATGTGCTTACTTATATGTTCTCGTTCATATAAAGGTCTAATTTATAATATTTATGTTAATGTTTTAATAACAAATTTCAATATCAAACTATATATATTTTGTAACTTATTTGTATATTTAGTGTGATATTGTAGATCCAGCTTATGCAATTGAATGGATGCAAGATTTTGAAGCATTTTGTGATGCTGTAGAAAATGAATCATCATATATGTCAAATTTGACTCGTACTATGGCATTAACTTTAGATGAATTTTATAATGAACTAAAATGTGTGCCAGTATCTTCATTGACTGGCCATAATTTTGATGAATTTTTTAAAATGGTTGATGCAGCAACTGATGAGTTTCAAAAGTAATAATTAATTTGTCTTAATTAAAACATTAAAATATTAATGGTTTTGAAAATTTTAAGAGAATATCGTGTTGAATGGGATAAATTGCGTAAAGAAAAATTGCAAACTGAAATTTCTCAACTTAACAAAAAATTGAATGATTTAGCTGTTAGTAGTGGCAAAGGAGAAGATGTACCTTTATTCACCTCATTAAGTGCTGGTCGTGAGATTTCTGATATCTATCTAGCACCAAATGCTGATGAAATGTCAGGCGACAGTGAAGGAGAAGAAGTGCCTACTTTTAATGCTAATGGCAAGTATTTATTTAATTATTTTAGATACTAGTATTAGTGCTATACTACTTATTTTAAGCCACTAATATTTTTAAAAAAGAATTATTCAATAATAATATACATTTTATTGCAATTTTGCAATAAAAAAACTACTAGAATGTGATGAATCTCAGTAAGTTTTTTTAATTTATGTTTATAGATAATATATCCAAAATGTGTAACTAATTATTTTTAGTTTATAATAATGTTAAATATTAATTATTCTTTGATAATTTTCAGATTGAACAATTTAAAAAGGTTCCTTTTGAAAAACAATTATGAGAATGAAATTTAAATATCTGAATAATTGCATATTATTTGTAAGTGGATATATTTAATGCTAATTAAATAATTTTTATTAATGTAAAATAATTTAAAAAGACAAATAAAAAATTGAAATACTTTACTATAGTTATAAGTCAGTTTTTATTTACATCACAAAACTAATCATTATTAGGGTATTAAATTATATTGTTAATATTTAAATCTGTTTAAGAATGGTTAAGTAAGTCCTGGTTTGAATAATTTATAAAAAAAATATACAGAATACATTGCCATATACTCTATATCGCCATTGTAAACTAAATATTTGATATTTATTATCTAATAATTAATTAATTTCACTATAGTGAACAAAAAAATATTCTCATATTTTAATAAATACTTATTATATGTATAGTATAGTATAGTATGTCCAATATACAAAATAAATAATATTAATTCTTATTAAAGTTAGATTACAAAATTAATGTTTTAAAATCATAGAAAATATTCAATGCATAAAATTGATTTTAAAAATGTGTAGCAATGAATTATTTTACGTTGAATTCAGAAAAAAAATTTTGAATTATACAAGGATAAGTTTTCAATCTTTAACTAAGTTTTCTGAACCTTTTTCTAGCTGTATCTCATCTGCATTATTGTCTTATAAGCTACATTTAAAATATATCAAGTGGAAAATTTTTTGGCCTTCTTATTATTTTTTGTTACTTTAACTTCTTCAGTTGTCACGAGTCATTTAACCTGACATATTAACAGTGCACCAAACAGTTCTTTAACCATATCTTAGTGCTTGTTGAGAAGTATCTTCAAGTTTACTCTCTTTTCTGTGCGCCCAACAAGGTAATGTACCATCTAATAGTGTTCGCATGACAACTAAAAATCCTGTACTCTTATCTTGCACCTGTGTATTCTCAATTATTTTAGCATTGTAGTTTTTAACTGAACTTAAGAATGGAGCGAGATTTTTCTGGGCCAAGGCCATAATTCCATTTATGGAGTCGATATTATCAGTAAGTATACACATTTATTTATACAGGTGTTTTCTTAAAATAAAAAATAGTGATAAATTAAATCTATAATATAATATAATACCTCTATAGTCTAAAGGTATTAACCCTTTCAGACCCAGAATTAAACATTGTGAAATAATGGATTACAATAATATCTACATTTAAAGATAAACTTGAAAAATAATAATTATTACCTCATTGACACAAATATTTTTATTTGAGAAATAAGTAAAAAATATGTTTTTAAGTTCTTTTGTTTTAAAGATTTATTATTCATAATTATTTTTTTAAAAGAAGGAATACCTACTATCTGCCTTATCTGAATAGTGTGGCTACAGAGATTAGTGATTACTGATTATTGAGTTCTGAAATGTTTACACGTCACAAACATACTATTTCCAGCATTGAAAATAATGTAACGCAATAATAAGTTATTAAAATAACTAGTAGTTTTAATTATTTGTATCTATTACTAAAATTTGAAATGTTAAACAAAAATATATACTTATATATGTATTATTTTACTTATTATAATTTAATATAAAAATTGAATCATTATTATGGATTACTATGTACAGGTCACTGAATATTAAAAATAATATTTATCATTTACTGCGATCTTACGAATTATTAAAATAGCAACTAAACATTATTAGAAGCGTGGTTATTGCCAAAAAGGTTGTTGACAATAATGATAATTATTTACGATATGAAACGTTTTAATTTTTTCAATCAAATTTAGCAATTGAGCATTAAGCAGTGTATTGTGCATGGACTTTGGGCATCGACCATAATAATTTTAAATTGTTAATAAATTAATATCGAATTTTATAATTTAGATAATTTTATTCTGTATTTTTATTACATAAATTACGTAATATACTATTTTATGTATAAAAACAATATTATAAATCAGTAAAAAAACGACCAAGGAGGATCTACCTCCCATAAATACACCACTGCTTTTCATAGGTCTCGGTAAAGCTTTTAGGTGTGGAATCAAATCCTTTTATTGCATACAATGTGTCAATGTATTACAAGCTGGTCATATGTTGCTTTTTACCTTTTCCATATTTGTCAATAGTTTTAATCCTGTGCACCTAATATGTTTTTATAATGATAATAATATAAAGCTATTTATGAAAATTAACAACTGACTGTTAATAACTTCAGAACAATCTTAATAGATTTGTTAGTTGGGGTAGCATTTGAAATTTTGGATGACACTCAATGTTGATAAAATGTCCTTCGCTGGCTTTATTAAAAGTCGGTCTCCTATAGTTTTTACCTACTTATTCAATGATTTTGGACTGCTTTAAGATGACTGTATTTGTGTTTTTTATTTGAACCCTTGCGATAACAGGGTTTACACATTAAATTTATTATATGTAAAGCTTATAAATTACTGGGATCCATTAATAGAATATCAATTGAGTTTAAAATTTCAAATTTGCTTTAACCCCTTAATTGTGCTCTTATCAGACTATTCTTAAACATAAGTTTAGCAGATCGAAATACTCATTGTGCTGATTCTAGTTGTCAGCTATATTTTAAATATCCCTTGCTCCCTCAAGATTTATTCATAATATTTAAGCTCAAATTATCTTCTATAGCTGAGTGCCATTACTGCTATAACATTACCATTCTCAAAAACATTATTACATATTCTATTTATTTTCCTTTTTAATTTTAAAGTGCCTTAGCAGAATACTCTTCAAAGAATTATTTTATACATTCTCTTCTACACAATCATTTATATTTTGAATGAACCAATTAATAACTTAATAAAATTAGCAAAAGAAGATCCGTTTTTTTTTTTAATTAGGTATATAATTTCAGTAAATATTAGTTCTTAAGCTCTTAATAGCTTAATAAGTATATTAATATTGTTTTATTATTTTATGTTATATGTATCATATTTACTTTGGCATAAACCTGTTTTATAATTAAAATAAAATATTCTATTTAATAAACATAAAGGCAGTAGAAAAAAATAAATTTCAAATAAAATAACAAACCATTTAAAATATAAAATTATAATATAATGATTAATTTTCTGAATAAATTCTAATCATATCTTGCATTGTTGCTGGTAATTTGGTTACTGGACATCTAGATTCTCCCATAAGTGACTTATGTAAACACTTATAACAGAATACAAACCTAAAAACAATAATTAAAAATATAAAAGAAAATTTAATAATTAATAAAAAGGTATAATTGAAAAATATTACAATAAATTATAATTTTTCTATAAATAAGAATATAAATATAGGCATGATTATAAATACCATGCTTACATTATAGAGCAGAGATGGGCAACTCAAAGTAACTAGCGGGCCACTTTTAAGTACTTTAAAATATAGCGGGCCGCAGTGCATAGGAAAAAGCAAAAAATAAAATAAAAGGTCATTCAAATATACTAACATTTATTTTTTTATCTTTATTTATTTATATTTACAATTATTATTTAATGTGATACTTGAGGATGAGGTTTTTCAATAAACAATTTAGTAAAATCCACTTCTATTTCTGTAGTTGAAACTCTTAGTAAATGTCCTAGGGTTTCATCTGTTAAACGATTTAATAATTTAGTTTCGGTTTAAAACTAGATAAGAATTTATATCCACATTTTATCGAAAAATGTAATAAAATAAAATAAAATACAGATAAGCGCTAAAATTATATGAAGTAATTTGAAAATGTAGCGTGGGCCAGATAAAAAAGGTACGCGGGCCGCCAGTTGCCCATCCCTGTTATAGAGCATAGATCAACTGCACCAAAGAAATATTAAAAAGCTGAAACTAAGAAGTTCCATTTACAATTATAATTTTCTTTGTATTTACAGACAAATATGTGAAAGTAAGAGTAATGTTAGTCTTAGGAGTACAATAAGGATTCAAGAATTTAGTATCAAAATGATTTAATTTACATTGACTACTAAGTTATTATATTTCATAATATTTAGGACCCGGATTTCAGTATAAAGTGTGAGACAATGCATTCATAGTACATAATTTGTTTCATATAACAGATACTTAAAATTAACTTTATGGTTATTTCAAAGTTTTTACTTTTTAATTAATGTTTTTTTTGCATTTTTAGGTCATTGTAATAATTTTCAGTGCGTAATATTAATATGCCATATGAACTTATAGTGTAAATTAGGAAATTCAAAATATATTTTAAAGAAATATTGTTTATATAATATTTGATCTTTATCTATTTATATTATTAGTTTTTGAATGTGAAGTCTTACTTAAAAAATAACAACTAATTGATCAGTAGAAGTTATAGATTAATAAAATTCAAATCATGTATACTATCTATTTTTTAAAGCAGTTTTGATCATTTTTAGGATATTTAAATCCGGACCCTAATAATAAAAAATATAAAATTAAGAATATAACTAAAATTTTTATCAATTATACTACTAAATATATTTAAATAAACAATATTGCAATAGCATACCCTGATACAGTAAGCGCAGTTGGCATTTTCCTTTCATTTATACATATAGGACATTTATTAGTGTTTCTGAGTGAAATATATTTATCAAACTCCTATAATTTTTGATTTAATATTATTTTTAATAATTCAACATAAACAAAGTATAGCCATGATGTAAACAATATAGTATAATCATAATTTAATGACAGATAGATCTTTTAAATTTTGGTAGGCACAAGACGTAAAAGTTATTAAAATGTTATTAATAATATTGGTAGTTACATTATGTACACGTAAACCCAAACTTTAACAAATTTACAATCATATTAAGGTCTATTTTGTTTACATCAAATGTCTAGTTATAAATTAGATCATTATAAAATATACCTTTGGAGGATTGGGAATTGGGTAGGCAATAAATTTTGATTGCAAATTTTCAGAGTGCCACCAATTCAAAAACTGCATAAAAAATGCACCCAATTCCAAGGAATGAGATAATCCATACAATAAATAACTCTTAATAGATTCTTTAGTACTGAAAATTTGTAAATTTATTATTTATGTACATATAAAATATATGAAAATAAAAAAATATTAAATGTAAATATATTTTCTCATTGAAGGATTTGATATATTAAGCAATGGACTTCTATGCACGGCAGTTGCCTGTTGCTAACATGCCACTTTATACAACTGCTTAACTTTATTTTGCTAAGATAAAAATGATACAGGAATTTTTCGATCATTGGAAACCAAAACTAATAACAATAATTTTATTGAGAGGTATGGTCTGACCCAACCAGACATAAATCTGCTGCTTGAAATTACTCTTACATGATATAGACTATAAAAAATTATTTATTTTTTTGTAGCTATATTATCATTATACTAAATAAATATTAAACTTACCTTAATTGAGTAAGTGGTTCATTATTTAAAGATTCAACATTTTTATAAGTTAATACCATTCCTGCCACAGCTAATAAAGGTGAATGTGATTGACTAGATCTATTTAAATATTTTACATAATATGTTAAACATAATGCTTCCCAACATGTATGAACAATTTTATTTAATGATATAAATACTTTCTAAAAAAATAAAATTAATATAAAATTATGAAAATAAGACTAACAAAACACTCCAATTGAATTAATTATATAAATACATAATAATATTAAATTACTTCTTTCAGCTGCAGTTTATACTTAATTTGTAATTGATCGATATACATATCATATTTGTTTCTTAGATAAGGTATACAAACTACAAAAGCTAAGCCCAAGTACAATTGATTATTAGAGGGTTTAGAATTAGTTGAACAAGAAACTCTTGTCAAGTCATAAAAGTTTTCAGAAAATGTTCCTCATAAAACAAACAGAAATATAACATAAGTAGATGAATAACATATTATCATAAAAAATATATTACAAAATAATTATGATTTTCATACCATATTTCTTCAAATACAGATATTGACAAATAGTATTAAGTGCAAGAAATATTTCATCAAAGTATTGATTTAACCATCTTAATTGTTCAGGATTTTTAAGAGTAATATACTAAATAAACACATTTAAGTATAATGAAAGTAAAAAATTAATTATGATATCATTAAAACTCACATAAAAAATTTTTTTTTAATGCTGGATAAATTGTTGTAGACAGATTTTCTTGTGCGATTACTTCAAAAATTGATGGACGACTTATAATAGTTGTTGTATGATGAGCTGCTTTTTCAGCCATTAGAAAACAATTTTACTGCTCAGTATTTCACCAAATAATTTTGTTAATTAGTCATCAATTACACATTAAAATGGTCAATTTTTGAAGTGCCTATCTTTAAAAAATATTGTTGTTTTACAGAATAATTAAGTTTAAGAGTTTAAATATACGACCTATACCAGAAATCCAGAGGTTAAAAAATCAATTCACTAATTTACAAAAGGATTACAGTTCACTAAGGTTAAAATCGGTTTTCAATTATTATAACCAAAATATTATACTGCTCAAAAGTTAATTTATTTATAAAATATAGACCAAAGCAAATACATAATATCTCGAGACGTTATCATTTTTCAGACAAATGCTTATCACTCAGTTCGTCCGTGCGCCACCCTTACTATAGCCACAGAACAGTTAAACTGGTTAAACACGGCTCTGAGATCTAAGTATTGACTTTTGAGTAGAAGGTCTTGAAAATTTAATGCAATATTCTAATAAAGTTATTTTTACTAGAAATTATTATAAAAGCAAGAGTAACTGAATAAAGTAATTCATACATTTTATGAGAAATATTTTAAGTTCAAATATTAACGACATAATTTACATCTCTACTTAACTCTTAAATGTAAAATAATGATTTCTATTCAAAAAATGTTTGTTAATCTGCTGTAATTCAAAAAATATAAACATTGTCCTTAGAAATTTTAAACATATACTACAATGAAACAATGAAATTTTCAAAATACTAAGACTAGTTCTTTCAAAAACTATTTTTGAAAGAAATGTATTTGTAAAAAAATGTTTAATTAATTATTAATTACCTATTCATTTTATAAGCATAAAGCATTAGATATCGTTTATTCGTTAGGTAGATTTATTAAATATTTGCAGTGTCACCCGTTTGATTATAGAACAAAATGTTCGGCTACACCATGTGACCTGTCTGTTATCATTGTTTACCATAAATGTTTATCTAGGTTTGTTTGTAAAGAATTGTACAGTTTATTGCATAAAAAAACATTATATTTTATCATTATCACATATTATTTACTAATATACTATTCAGTTTTCACCTTTTAATATCCTGATGGTGTTTGGAAGACCGTGTTATAAATTTTAAATATTTTGCTTTTTCAAAAATAAGGAATGTAATAAATATATTGATTTTTTTATACTTAGTAAAATTCATTAGTTAAAAGGTTTATAATTTTCGATTGTTTTGTGTTATGTCTTATATAAATGCTTACAAAAATCGGTCTACCAACAATGGTACGTCCGAAGACGAAAAACAAACTCTATTGGTTTTTGGATATTCGTGTAAATTATTCAAAGATGACGAAAAAGCTCTTTTCATTGACCAAGGGAAGCATTTGATACCTTGGATGGGTGATGACACGTTAAAAATAGATAGGTAAATGACATAATTATCCAAAAGCATAAGATAAAAATTCTGTATGTGTTGGTTTTACAGATATGATTGCCGTGGGGCTTTAAGTGACCTACAGTCTGTAGAAGCCTTACCGTTTGGTCAAAGTCGATGGGAAGGTTTGACAGCCGATGAAAAGAAAATTGAACAACTATGCGACGAAGAAAGGTATAAATCTCTCAATGATAAGAGTGAAGAAGAATCAATTTATCAAGGTAAGACATTTTATTATAGATGTAATTATGATGGTTCTTATTTAAAAATTAATTTCTGCAGTTTTAATTTCAAGTTAAATTGTTTTATCACTTACCAGCTTACAATTTGATATAGTTTTGTTTCAATTTATTTATCAAAGTACTATAAGAATTGTAGCATACTAAATATTTTTTTAATATTTATTTGACTTGTATTTGTTTGTTATATATTTATTAATGTGGAACGTGATAATATAGCATTTTTTGTCAATTTAAAGTCAATAAAGCAAACACTTTATTTTTTAATGAGTATTATGTAAATTTATGTATATTGTTATTATATTTCAAACTTGACTATGTTTAAGTATACAAAAATATTAAATTACAAATTGTTAATTGTAAATTCTACTTATTTTTGTACAGAGGAAGAACTTAAACGACTCCATCAGGCTTTAAATAATGATGAAAAAGAATATGGGCAAGTTGGTTATAAATATGAGGATGAATCTTCAAACATATCTGAACTAAAAACTGCAGATGATACAGATTATGATCCTGAATTAGAAGAAGCTTTTATTCCACCGAGGGAATTAGAAATTCCTTCTAATATGCATGTGGTAAGACAAAGAAAGATTTTTTAAAAAGATACTGTTATTTTGATATTTTTATTTTATTTTTAGCCCCCAACAAAAAAATTAAATGCTATTATTGAAAAAACAGCATTGTTTATATCTAAGCATGGAGCACAAATGGAAGTTTTGTTGAAGGCTAAACAAGCACATAATCCTCAGTTTGAATTTTTGTCATACGACAGGCCACTTTACCCCTATTATCAACATGTACTTTCAGCTATCCGGTCTTGCCGTTATAACCCTACACTTGCTAATGATAGTGCAGAAGGTAAATTATTTGATATTAAAGGAACTTACATTTACAAAAATATTTTAATATTCTCTAGTTAAAGTGAATATTAAATTCTAAGAATAATGATATTGGAACTATGTTTCTATTTATACCATTTAATAATTATTTTTTATTTATACCTGTGTTTTTGTGTTTGAGGTGATAGTGAAACTCAAAAAATAAAAATAGAACATTTATTTATTATTCAATAATTAAAAATTTTAAAAGTAATTTTTATTAAAACACTTTAATTTAATATTTATTTTATAGTCATATTGTATTTTAAATATTGAAAAAAAATATATGTTGTACTTAATATACTGTTTCACAGTAATATACACAGTAATATTGGTGGTAACTATTTTCAGCACAAAAATGCACATAAGATTGAATAATAAAAAATTTATGATTTTGTAAAGTAAGCAAATTTAAATGTTTGAATAGAGCTGTAGTTAGGTCTTAATAAAACTGACTCAGGTTATGGATGCAATAAAATAAAGAGTGCTAAAACCAAATATGCATTTTAAAGTTAAAAATAGGATTTCAATTTCAACTTTTATCAATATATTCATATTCATTGGTTGACAGATACTTATTCATATTTCAATATTTAATTATTTAGATTTTATATGTTTATGAAAAGAAGTTGTTGATTATTGTTTCTATACAAAATTTAATTAATTAACTTATTTTAATATAAGTTTTGATTTAAATATTTATAAAATAATTTTATGTGAAAATGAAAATATCTGTAGGTGTTTAAGAAGTTATTCAGAGCATTTATTAGTTTTTATTTTTTAATAAAAATGATATAAAAACATTATTATATTGATACATTTACAAAACAATAATAAAAAATATCTATTTATTGATTGAAATTAAGAATGATGTTTTAGTGCTAGAGAGAGGAGGAGTAAAAATTTAAAAGAGCACAATCATGTTAAAAAGCTGGAAGTACTAATGTACCTAGCTACAGCTGTGTGTATAAATTAGATGGTAATTAGTCAAAAGTCTTGATTTGTTTTTTTACTGTTAAACAAAAGTTTGTGTGTTAATTATTTTTTATTTATTTTCGGATAGTAAAAAATGTATTTTATATGATTTTTCAATTTGGAATTTATGTACAGTTTATCCCTAAATTTGAGATAGGGGATCATGTGATGTCTAGACTAATAATGTCATGTACCTATTTTAAATTTCTCAATGTATCTTAAAATCTTATTTTTTCTGAATTTTTATGATGAGCAAGTTTGTCTATAATCATTTAACTTAAAATAAGTAGCACATTTTATACAAATTAATAATAAATTATAATACTCTTTTTTAGATTCATTAGATTCCTCAAATGAAGAAAGTTACCTTCATCCAAGCCTATTAAAAAGTGCAAAACAACCAGAAACGGTAGGTGCCCTAGTATTTCTTCTAATTTAAAATGTTTAATATTTAATGATTTTGAAAACAAAAAAACCATGTGATAACATTACTTGTCTGTGATATCAAACGTCATTCACTCATATTAAACATTAAGTACAATAGATATTATCTCTTGCTGAGATAGTGATGTTTAAGAAAAATCATTACACAAATTATATTACAATTTAATATAAATATTTATAATATGACTATAGTCTTTCTTTATTTTTTAATTTTAGAATTTTGATTTAAAATTGAAATATACCTAACTAATATAACTATTTAATATTAAAATAAAATTGTTTAATATTTTTCCAATATTCAAGATAATGAATAAAATATTTTATTTTAAGCAAAATGACTTGTTAAATAGTAGGGACTTGACGTCAAGTGATATCATTGCATTATAATGTGTTGGTTATAACTGTAGATAAGTGATTCATTTATAATATTGCAAGTGGAATACACCATCTGTATACGTATAAGATTATGATGAGGTAAAAGGTATATAAAAAAAAGAAGATTTTGGTTAAATTTCATAAAATAAGATTTTTGATGAAATTGTAATTAACCATGATTTATAAGACAAACGGAGATGATACTTAAATGTATACAGAAGTTGTCATCTTGATTGCCACATGGTCTGGATGCTGGTAAGTTATGTGATTCCTTTTAAATTTTTAATTGTATTGAAAGTAATAATTTGATAATTGGATATATTTTTAGATATTTCCATAGTTTTTAATTGGGTTAATATTTTATTACTTTATATAAAAATAAATATTATTCTAATATTAGGTAGGTTATTGCTTAAAGACACTACTTTATTATAATCTTTGTTTTAAAGAAGTAATATGCTTAAGTTTCAAAAAATTAACAGATATAAAAAATAGTACTATATATTTGTTAATAATTTTAAATTTTCAAGGATGTGAAATCTTTTCAAAAATTTTTATTTGATCCATTTTTTTAAAATTGAATCATTGATATTTTAATACATTTGTTTTTTAAACTTAAAGAATCCTGTTTGATTTTAATTTGTAATATTGTTTGTAATTGTTATGATATTTTAAAGTTTTAATTACTGAAGAAATAACCTGACAAAAACAAATTTACCTTGCTTTTTGAAAACAATAATTCTTTGTTTAAAATTAAATATAAAATAAAAATTATAATTGAAAACTGAATTTGTTAATACTGAATTTTCATGTTCATAGATTAATTGTATAAACTCAATGTATTAATTCTGAAATTGAATTTTTTTTTTTTTTTTTTTTTTTGTTTTAATATAATATATAATTATTATCATATTAAATTTAGTAAATTCCTTTTTCGTGATCTAATATTTTTTTCTCAAATTTTACTGTTTTACAACTAATAAGCATAATTGTGATTTTATTAATTTGAAATATTCCTTAGTTCACACAAATTTAACATAATAATTTACTATCTTTAGTGTAATTATGCATTGTTAAATAAAAAATTTTTGTTAAATGTATAAACTTATTTTATGTATCTATTTAATATTTTTTTTGTATTATGCATACCAATATTAATTTGTTCTGTTATAAAGCTTTTAATGGTATCTATTTAACACATAGATTATATTCATTTTTAAGGCAAACAATTCATTTCTTGTTATTTTAAATTTTTATTATAAATACATATAAATAGTTTTTGAAATATTGGTGTTCAAACATTAATTAAATTAAATTTTAGGCCCATTAAATCACTGAATATTGAGTTAGTGGATTTAAAAAGTATATGTCAAAAATAAATTGAATTACTTTAAGAACAATATGTTTGGTTAGGTATATATTATTTAGGTTTTTTATTTAAGAAATTTATTCAAATATTAGGGTTTTAAATTAATTTTAATAAGTGCAAATTTATTATTATCTTATTTTATAATAAAACTAATAACAATGTAAAGAAGTTTTAGACAGGTAAGGTTAGAGGAATTTGTAAAATTATGTTTGTTATATCTAATGATATAACTCATTTAGTGAAAAAAGATTTAATCTTTTTATATTCTATTAATTTTAAACAAGTAAGGTAAGTTAAGGATTATCCATGCTATTTTAAATACTTAAGTACAGTATCTTTAATTTTAATCAATCAACCAGTAAATCAGTTATTTTTATGAAATAACTTAAATCATTTTAACAATGTACACACTGTTTTATCCATCAAAAAATATATTAACTGATTTTTAATAATCTTTGTATACAATTTCAATGTTATGTTTTATTTTTCAGGTAACTAATGTGAGCAGATCAAGCTACTATGTCTCCAATTATTTTTAGCTTTAACCTTGATCAATTTTATTCCTATTAATGATATTAAATTAATATTCCTGCTATTATTCTTATTATTAATTTTATTCCTATTGTGTTGTATCTTTAATCTTTACCAAACTAATTTTTTTTATAGAAATCATCAATGTTTAATCATTTTAGACTAAATTCTCAATTGGACCAATAATATTTGATTTAAAAATTTTCAATTTTATCATGAGCTAATAAATTATTTAGCTCAGGAAATATTAATTTAATTTTTTCCTAAGATAATTCCTATTCATATTATTACCATTTTTGTCCAGGATAGCTTGACAATCAAATTCCATTTTGCATACAACTCTCTCAACTCAGTACCACTACTAAATAATAATTTATTTATTATTGACTTTATTTGCAGACGCCATTTATACCAAACATAACATACAAACCTTCTGCTGACTGTTCATACTCATTACTGGTAAACAAAATTAAAGAGAAACAATCTGCAATGCCTGTAGAGGAAACCATTATAAATGAAGTAGAAACTCCTTCCATAAATGTAACTACATCAGAGTTTGATGGACTTACTAAATCAGCTAGACGGCGGCTGAAAAAAAAATTAGTTTCTCAATCTACATTAAATGCTTCAAATTCTCCAGATACAGATGATAATGAAATAATAGATGAACTAAGCTCAGTTGAGGTATGCATACAATTAAATTTTGTTTATTTATAAATTGATTAGTGATTACACTTAATTTATATTAAGAATGGTTAACAAACTTATAGTGGTTATAAAGAATAATTTTTAGTTTAGCTTTCTTTTTTCTATTTTCCATTATAATTATATAATTACACCTAGATATTAAAGTATACTTGTATTTCTAGGCAACTGCTAATACTAAGTCAGAATCGGAAATTTCCAATCCAGTTCAACAAAATGTTTCAGTTGGTATTGATGTGCCGCCTAATGATTTACAAATCATTATTGACAAAATGGCTTCTTATGTGACAAAAAACGGAAAACAGTTTGAAGAAACTGCTCGAAAAAGACGTAAGTGCATTACTACAACATTTAGTTCAAAACATTTTAATTGTTTTTTTTCTATTTAGAGGATCCAAGACTGAAATTCCTGGAGCCTGATGACTGTTTTAATGCATATTATACTCAAAAGCTTAAATTGTATGCCACAATTAAACGATTAGAACAAACGGCTCCATTAAAATTAAATGTGGATTCTAAATCAAATTCCAAATGTAATTATGAGAAATTTTTAATTTATTATTATGTATGTGTATTTAATTTATGCAAAATTTGTATTTTATTAGTTTTTAGTTAATTCTGTCAATTTTCACATTTAACTGTGACCATGATTTTTTTCTGAGAAAGAGAACTTGAGACCATTTATTTTTAGGTAGTAGCTAGGGAATATTAATGTCATAGCTATAGAGTGCTTAATCCCCATATATCCCACTAATACCTTTGTACATGGTTTTATTATATACTATTAATAATACAGAAATCATACTTGCATGATAAATTATATTTAATATAATTTATATTTCAATAAAAAAATTTATAATATACATACAATAAAACTCGTTTTAGATCCTCTCACTTAAGACTAATTCCCACGTTCTATAATTTTCCCTTTAATACCTACACCATTTTTATCTGGTCCTTAGAAAGCGTTTTAATCAGGTTCTGCTATGAATTCATCTAGCATGATATCTTGTTCCTCTTTATCCCTTAATAAAAAATAATAAATTCTTATGCTTAAAATTGTTAAATATTTTTAGCATCATAGTTATACATTTTTGGGTTTAATACTTTTTACACCACTAAAGTAATGTTTTTTGAATACTGCCACTAATCCTATCACTCAGGTTAGAGAAAACTCAGAACATTGAGTTCAAAAATAACTATAAAAAACTACACATGTATTTCTTAAGTATATATTGGTTTTTTTTTAGATTGTTATGTATAATTGAATATATAATTATAAGCATTCTATCAATGGGTGACTAACCCTATTAAAAGATTCACATTACAAATGTATTAATATTATAGTATAATTATTTAAACTGTTTTTTTTTCTTCAATAATAATAATAATAAACAAAATTGTGATTATAATTAAATAAATAATTTTTGTGTATTTTTATTTCAGTACCTGTGTGTTTTTCACTAAAAAAACAAAAAGAATCTGAAGCTGTAGAGATAAAAAAAAGTGCTCTTGAAGATAGTTCTAACGAAACAAGTGATGATGAACATAAAAAAGATCGTATTGATACAACAGAATTAAATCATATTAAATTAAATAAATCTTCCTCTGTCAAAAAAAATCTATTACAAAATACAGCTAAATTAGGTATGCTTGTTATGTATGAGAGTAGTGGAGAGATTTTTTTAATTATTTCAACATCATAATAATTGATATATTAATTTAATAAAAACATATTTTATAGATACTATTTATTTAAGTTGTAGTTTCAAAATAAAGGTTTTAATAAATATTTAACATATAAATTCAATCTAAGATATAAATCATACTTTTTTATTAGATATTAGTATTAGAGTACATAATTAATTAATTACATTTAATTATAGCTGAAGAAAGATTAAAAGACAAATTAGCTATGGCAGCAAAAGAAAAACTTTCTATGCTAGAAAGAGAACGTACCAAAAAAGAAAAAGAAAAAATTCAAGCTGAAAGAAAAAGAAAAGCTGCGCAATTTTTGGCTTCTATGAAAATAATATCATCATCTTCAACAAATTCAAATGCCACTAAGCCTAATGAAAAGCCAGACACTCAAATTTTAGGTATAGTAGAAAAGCTTGATTAATTGTCAGTCATAGTACCAGAGCTTTAATGGATTATTGAATAGACAAATACAACATTTTTCAATTAACGTATATTATATATTAAAACTTGTGTATTTTTATAAAAATAATTATAAAAAAATAATTCAATATATACACACGGAATGTTACTCATAAGTCACTGATTAAGTTAAATTAAGTTAAAAGTGTGTTTGTTCACATCATGTTTATTGCATAATATCTTAGATATTTCAAACTATTATTAAACATTTGATAGTTGCGATAACTCCATTTAGTATAAAGCACTGTAACAAGTTTACCACGATCATTGTTTTTTTTTTTTTTTTGATGACAGATAACAGAGAGTGACAGTTATTGAGTTTCTATTATAATAGTTATAATAATATGTTGTGCTGTAATAATTGAATCTAAACAACTAACAATATTATTTTTATAGATTTGCCAGTTCAAACTTCTGTTGTGAATACTGTGGATCAGACAACTTCTATAGATGAAAAAAATGGTTTACTAGATGATGTAAAGGATTTAAACAATCAACCACTGTCTTCCAAAGTACAAGAAATAATATCTATTGGTTCTAGGTATGGTATTTAAGTTATTTAATAAAATTTGTATTGTAGTTTTATATCGAATGTTTAATACAAATTAATGAAAACAATTTTACATTTTCTAGTGATGAAGATATATCTAATGATGGTCATTTAAATAAAAATATAAATGGAAATAAAAGTAGTAAATTATCTTTACAGTCCAGACTCCAAGGTATATAAATTAAATTTTACTCTATAGTTTAAGTACCAATATAATCCATCAAATAAATATTTTTCTATTACCATAATAAATATTTTTTTTTATGGCGATAGTCCTCTTAACGACTTACATTTAAATTTTGTGTCCAAAATTACTATGTTATTTCAACTCTTGGTCCATATCTTATCATCTACAGTTGTATACAATTCCAGCCCTTTGGTACCTAGTTAAGTTATTGTGTACTTCAAAAAATGTAGTTAATTTATATTCTAACTCCTAAATTACAACTTTTTAGAGAATAATAAAATAAAATAAAATAATAATAATTATTATAATAATTTTTTTTTCCAGAAACATTATCTAAAGATAATAAACGCAAAAACATAGAAAGGTATGAGATAGAAAAAGATAATTACAAACGAATAAAGAATTATGATGAAAGTAAAGAAAAAACCCCAGATCAGTAAGTAATTATTATATATTGTTTGACAAATTTTAATAACAGACATAAATATATTTACGCTATTGTCCATTAATTTAATTTTTATTAAATGGAGATAATTTAATAAGTTTCTTGATCTATTCTTTTTGCTTAGTGTTTAAAATTTAATTTGTGTTTAGTCGGTATTCATCTCGTGACAGAGATCGAAGTAGTAGACGATCAAAAAAGTCTCATTCTAGTCATCATAGTTCTTCAAAAGATCACAAAAGAGAACGAGGTAGTAGACGATCCAAACATAAACATAAATCAAAAAAGTCCAAGAAACATTCACGAAGTCATAATTCAGATTCATCAGATAATAGTTCCAATACAAACAACAGTCGTTTTTCATGATTTTATTTTTTTTTAAATGGTATTCAATAATATAACCTTAAGTTCAATGTATATACTTGTAAATGTATTGATGTAAACTTTATTTATGTTTAGTATATTGTTAACGAGCTTCATTCTTTGTATTATAAATCCAACTTGTAATTATATTACTATTTAAACCAATAAATGATACTATTTTGAGTAATTACTTTATTAAATTCTGTTTTCATTTTTATGACCAACTACCATATTATTATTAATTGAAGTCAGCCATAAATGTTGATTTTCCTTAGAATTCAATTCCTTAATTTTAAATAAATATACGTTTTTTTAACAATGTTACACTTAAACATAATATTCATGAAATTTATATTTTTTATTTATTAAGTGCATTGAATTATATTATTTTTAAATTTATAATATTCTTGTAACTGTTATTAATTTCAAATTTACTAATAAAATTTTTTTTTGATTTAATAAAACATTTAAAATTTTAATTTCTGACATAAATGAGTTTTAAGTTAATAAATAGAATATTAAAGACTTTTCATTGTTATGATACTTTTGATGAAACAGTCAACAATTTTATTTGGTTCTGTTTAAATACTAATATTATGCAATTAACTAGTCCTATCATCACTTTCTACTTTCAATAAGAAAAATATTTTTAATTGATAAATTTTGAATGCTTAGTGACCAGACGCAAGACATTTTTGTAAATCAATACATCTATAGTTTTCTTTAAGTCTCGCAATCTGAATTTGCAACAATAGTGACTATAATATACACAATAGAGTACAGGAAATATATTTTATGATATAAAATACATTCAAACGAGTTAATTAATTTTGCCACTCACAAGTTACATCTTTACTGCTTTTTATTAAATTATATATTGTGAATATTACACTTATATGATCTAATTTAAAATATTTTTAAAATTAAGTATGTTATTTTCAAAAATAACAAATATAAATAGTATATTAAAATTTTTACAAGAGTTAAAGAAATTGCTTGATAAAAAAATCAGGCTAAATTCCTGTAACATATACATGGCCATTAAAAATGACTTTTGCATAGTTAGTGTAGTTTTGTGAAGACAATAATTTAACTAAATTATTACATTTTACTAGACTTAAAATTATTGTTTGCGAGAAATTCATATTTCTAAGATATGTATTAATAATAAAAACTCAGCCATCGATGTTTAAAAACAGTTTTTTTATTATATATTTCAATATAATTGGTCATTTATACACGTAAATTAAGTTAGGCTTGGAGTACACAGGCACCACCAACTTTCTTAATCTTTTGCTCAGCAACCTTGGAAAAGAATTTAGCCTTTACAATAAGTGGCTGATTTGGAAGATTACCTTTTCCCAATACTTTGTAATAACCCTGAAAAATAAATTTATTTTTAATACCATATTACAGTATATTATTAATTAAACATAAAATAAAAAATTGAATCTATCAGAATAAATTTTGGCAACATGAAATTTGTACTTCAGACCGCCTGTCGCTAAACAATAATTTTATCATCACTAAGAATCAATTTCAAGTTAAAACATATATATATATACAAAATACATATTTACCTTTTGTACGACATCAATAACAACTGCTTTTTCTTTGTCATTCTCATATTTCTGTCTCGTTTCTTCAGGGATTAAAGTGTATAGTTGTTCAAGGTTAATAGCAGGACACCATTTTGAATTTCTTCTTAAATGGTAATTACGCATACCCAACTAAAAAACAATTATTATTTATTATTATAATTTAAGCAAATTAAGAACCAAGCTCAACAGTTGACTTATATAATAAGCATAAAGATAACATTTGGATGGTGTTATAGTTAACACAGTATTATAAAAGGTTTTTACTATGAATAGTAAAATACATACTAAGTTCATAATATACATAATAAGCGAATGAAATAATATTTATCCTCGAATATATTAAGTATCTTGTTTAAGCTTTAAAGCCATTTAATTTAATTTTTACTATAACTACTTGATAGAATTAAAAAATATTAATAGTAGTTACTAGAAAAATATACAGTTTAATCAGAGTTATTTATTAAGTTTTAGAATATCCCTATTATATTTGTCAATTTAAATATTTTTTATGATTGCTACCTTTCCAAAATAACCAGGATGGTATTTGTCAAAATTTATTCTGTGGTGATGCATACCACCAGCATTACCTCTACCTCCGGGATGCTTCCTGTGTTTACCTAAATTAATAAAAAAAATTCATTAATAATAATCACATGATTAAACATAATTAGAACTTCACACATAAACCAATCAGATCAAAATAAACTAGCCACATAAAAATTGTACTTCAGACCGCCTGTCGCTAAACTAATTATCATCATCTTGGTTACTACATTTATACTCATTATATCAATAACTATTTAAAAATAATATGTATTGCTTAAAATAAATATCAAATAATATGTGTAGATTGAATTTCTTCAATTGGTATTATAAAACTAAATAAATTGATAATTGAAAAACAAATCAAATTTATATAGCACTCACTATATAACAAAAAACTAGAATTCGTTACTTTGTTGATCAAATGGTGCAAAATAATGAAAATATTATAAATGAAATTTAATTATAAAAGTAGTCTAGTAGAAAGTATAAGCTGGTTAATACATACCAATACGACCATGTCCATGACTGACATGACCTCGCAACTTCCTAGTCTTCTTCTTACTGGTAGTCTAAACAAGATTTGAAGTAATACCATTGTTATTAGAAATATTTTAATCAGACAAGTTATTATAAATATAAAAAACATTGTATATAAATAATTTCCTTCACTAGAACAAGAATTCTACTTAAATCTTATTACATGAATATTAATAAGTATTTAACTGCAGTTTTCAGTAGATATAATAAGATTGTTGTAATTTAATGTTACTAAATGATAATACATGTATTATTAAGATCTAATAACTGAAGTGTAGTTGATGATCAGTTTCGTGAAAACGAGTAACTGATTTCAGTCGAAACCTAATCATGTGATAGAATACTATACAATTTATAATATGGATAATACAAAAGAATGTATATAAATTGATATAATGGAAAACAAACAAAAAGTTTCTTTCAAGTCGCGAGTAAAATAATTATGCTAAAGCATTAGTTAAATTAATATTCTCAAATTAGATGTATTAATACAACAAAACTTGTAGCAATCGCATAAACAATGGATGATGAATTAACGTAAATAATTTATAGTAATTTCAATAACCAAAATGAAGGTGAAATAAACACGCTATTCATAATTATTCTTCATGCCACATGGTTTTTAAAGATTTTCCGATATTAAGTCAAATAAATTATATTAACGTTACAGTTAACTTTCGAACACAGTCAGACTAATATAGATACTATATAACAAACATAAAATTAAAAAAACTAAATTATAATGACTTACCATTTTGCTTCAAGAATGAAGAAAAATGAGAAAAATGAACGGGACTCGAGGACTGAAATCAAGAGAACTAGAATACACGAATACAAGTCACAACATTCATAATATACAAGTTTTTTTAGGTTAGGAACTTAGTCACGGGATATGAAATATGTATCGTCTTTGGAAACAGTGTAGCCATATATATAAAATAATAAGATTCTCAGTGGTATTGTATGTATGTACATAATACAATATTAATCAATGATAATACTACAGGGCACAGAACAGCAGTTGCTGTGGTATTTGTTTACATAGTACTTGCTATTGCTCAATGTGGATGTTTCCACAGAATATAAAAATATTGCTCTTTATTATGTACTAATGTAGGTTTAAGGTATATTATGCATCATAGGTACCATAATTATTAATTTGAATTTTGAATCTAATTTAATTCTTATTAATTTAAAAGTTTTAATATTTTTTCTTATTTTATTAATAACTACTAGTAAAATTATTAGTGTTATTAGTTAATAGTTTTTATTTATTTTTTAAATCGTACTATTTTAGGTAATGTTATTAATATTAGAGTCATAGTTCATAAATATTATTTTTAATTTATGTCAATAATATCTCTAATTATAGTTCCAACTTCATAAGTAGAATAGATAAATTACTGAACTAAAAAATAATACGTTTTTTTTTATGGATATATCTATCGTGTAATAAATAATATACATATATTATAGTATTATAGACGTTTTTATTTTATAATAAGACCAACTCGCCTGGCAAACGTATTATTATCACTCATCAGTACTCTACGAGTTGATACAAAAATCATGTTGAAAACAGTTCATTCAGTTTTTCGTGAAATGTTTAATTTTTTTTTTCGTAAAAATCCTATTTAGGATATTAATTCAAAAAAAAAGTTAATTCGATCGATCAATATTTTTAAATTATGCTTTTATCAATATAATTACATATTTATATAGATAATATTAATTTTTTTAAGTATAATTTAGAATATCTTGTGTGATTTTTTACATATAACAATTTATGAAAGTCAATACAAATTTATATAATCATTAGTTGGTATTTTATTTTGTACAATTATAAAAAAAAAAATTGAAGCAATTAATTTATTCATGTTTCCAGCTGACTACTATACATTAAAACTTTTTTTAATGGGATTTTTAAATATTAATATGTCATTATTATTAATCTGCTTTTCTATGGAGTATAATAATTTATATAATATCATTTCTTAACTAAATAAGCTTAGCAATATAATAAATACATTTAATTAAATTTATTCTATAGCATGATTGTATAAATTAAGTTTTTACTAAGAACTGAGTAGATCATTAACTTACTCAAATTATCATTATCATTATTGACAAATACCACAGACTAAGAATTAATTGTGACTTTGGTTACTTATTTCCATTATATAAATTGTTCTTATATTTAAGTATGATAATTTGTTAATTGTTACCATAATTTAAAAATTAACATCAATAACAAGTATAAGATTGAAATATATGTTGACACAACATAGCAGATAAGTTATAGTTTGCACTATAAACAATAGACTGCTATATTCACTATAAATTTAGCTGAGTTTAATTCGCTTATTTTAATAATTTATGGAAATATGGAGATAAATATATATTTCTTATTTAAAATAATATGATGCACAATTATTTTTTAATAAGAGCCATACTAATAAATAATTTGATCCATCTTAATGTATTCATATTAAATTTAAAAAGCATAAAGGTAAATACCATGATGAATTTGAACAAAATTTTTATTATAAATTGATTATTTTATAAAATATACTATTAATTCTCTTCAGTTATACTGAAATTTCTTCCCGAGAAAATTGCGGAACATATGTATCATTTTGAGCTTGATCTACCCATCTTGCAGCATTCTATAAGCAAAATAAATAATTAAAACAATTTTATAAGAAAAATAGCTCAAAAAAGAAAAGAATACTTACTAATTTTTTGGCCCTTTGCTCTAACAAAGAATAAGCAAAATGATTTAACTGGAATAAAAATAAAATATTAATGATAATAAAATAAGACCATAGTAAGTATTACTTAATTTTAGTTTTATGATAAGCTGAGTAGCTACTAGCTAATATGTCAATCTAAAGTTATATTAATTATATAAATAAATCATTTATCTATAGTTACACATTTATTTAAAATTGATATTCATAAACAAAATATTTTAGTATTTCTAAGTATAAAACATTTATTTATATATAAAAATCAATATTAATTTTTGTATAAACATATAATCAATTAAATTTACCATGATATTTTTGGGCAAAGAGACTCCTTGAAATCTGTATAAATGGCCACTCTTAGTATCTAAACGATGTACCTAATGTAATAAAAAAAAAAAAAAAATCATATAAATATATATATTTTCATCCTAAGTAAAATAAGTAAAATATAACTTAAGTATTAAAAAAATGTGTTTAACATACCGCAGTTATAGTGCAACGTCCCAATAAATCTGTATTACCAATCATAGGTCCTCTACTTATATCAATGTGATCATCAATTCTGTATAAAACCACCTTTTTATCTAAATCAATAATTATTTATTTATACAGATATTAATACAAGTCAAATAGTAATAACAAGCAATATTAATTGTTAAGCTAATTTGTTCTCATTCGTAAGTAATATAAGACATATTTGAGGAATTTGTAAATAATAAGGAAAGGAATAGAGAATAAAAACTTGTAAGGCGAGAATGGAGTTTTTAGGAAAAATGAAATTAATTATGTAAAGCAGTGTAGGGGAATCAACCTGATGAAAAGTTCAAACCAATGGCTTGTTTGAGTACTGAGTCCTGTAGAAGGCAATATTTATGTATTAAATTGTTGATTTTAAAGTAAACTATTTAAATACATTATAGATTAACTTATTTTATTTTAAAGATTATATAAAATTTTTAGATTATAGATTTTGAGATTTAAATTGATTAGGTACATTGCCCTTACCAATTGATTGTTGTGCAATACTTGGTATTTGTTCTTTTTTAAATTTATTTTCCTGAAATATGTCTAATGCAAGTTCTTCAGAAACGGCAAGTCTGTCAAATTTATAAGATTTTTGTGCAAATTTAACCATATTGGCTGACAAAATTCTTAGTTCATTTTCTGTTGGAGTCCACTCTGGTAAATTTGATAATTCCACATCATAAACAAAGCTTCCGCTTTTCACTAATTTACAAAATTAAAAAAATATTAATTACAATTATTAAATAATCAACATAAATAATAAATAGTAACTAAAATATTTTGAAGGATAATGTAAAAAATTTTAAATTTGTGAAAGACGAAGAAAATAGTGGTGTATTTATGGTATTAGAAGGAGGTTAACGAGGGAATTTATTATATTCTTGAATATTTTGTTCATCTTAGTTAGTAACCACTTAGTATAAAAATAGAAGCATAATTTTTTGTAATTAAATGCATAATAGTTTTAGAAATTATTTGTTAAGTTGTATAAATACAATTGCTTTGAAAAATAACTCTTCAATATAATCAGACAAGTTATAAGTTTTTTATTACATGTCATAAAAATAGGTTTTGTAAATTGGAATGTTAGTGATGTAGAGATGTTGAAGAAACTAACTATAAATAATATGTTATGAGTTAATATATTATAGGACAAAGAATATCAAGTGACTGAACATATTCAAAAGTTAAAAAGCCTAGGAATACATAATTGAATACAAATTAATTATGAATAATTTACCATTAGGTGACGGAAAGCTGTGTAAAATTGGTTGAATATTAGCTTTAAAAGCTTTAGAAATTATTGCTCCCAGTATAAGGGAACAACTTCGCCAATATGCTCTATTGAAATGATATGGGTCTGGCAGATATTGTGCATGCATAAAAGTTAGTTCACAGTCTGATTCTAGTGGTCTATGCATATCCCATAGATGTGTGTCGTCAATTAAGGCCAATCCGCTTCTTTTAACCAACATTTCAGATATGTCTACAATTAACCAGGTAATTATTAAAAATAATCAATGTATTAATAATAATAATTTCACATACGTTGAGCACAATGAAATGGGGTTGAAATCCCTTTGTTCATAGATAAAGTGACATTTTCAGGGATTCCAACGTGTTTAACTATAATCTTTTCAATACGACCAACTGCTTCTCTTTGTCGTTTTTGTTCTTGGTCAAACAAATTATTTTGATAGGCAACTATTTCATTTTTAGGGTGAATATCTGCAGACGTTGAAACATATCTTATGGCTAAAACATAAACACGATTCTTTAAACAATAATTCACTGTGAACAAGAATACGTTAAATAAAAGTGAAGTATGATATATTGTAAAAAAGAATTTGTACTCACACCAACTCGAACCACTGTATTTTTTATATAAACAGCTACTGAAACGTTTCATTTTAATATTAAAAATATTGGATACATTAACAAAAATAAAAAAACAAAACGAGTTTAGAAAAATAAAAATCACAACTATAATATACTATATTAACTATTATGTATATTATAGCCTACAGATAATTATTAATAATAATAGTTTATTATCAGCATAGAGACCATAGATAAAATCATCGTGCATAAATGATTAAGTTGATACCAAATCAGTAACCAAAGACCAAAGAGTAGATCTGTAGATCACATGAATCACATGTGTTTAATAACCTTAGTAAATAATAGGTACCTTCTTAATATTATACATATATATATATATATATATATAGATAAGTACATAAAAGTTTTCACGAATGTTTTTAAATTTTAACAAAATTATAAATATCATTATTTATTGTTTAAATAAGTAACTTAAACTTAAGATATTTAATAAATAATTGTCTCTGTCCTTTTTTTTCTTCAGATTTTATAGTTTTGCAATTTTCTTTTAATCAATAAAAAAAAATTCACCTTTTTTTGTGTTAACGTTCTTAATATTTTTTTAAAAATATTAGAACAAAATAAATGTGATTGTTTTACATTTTCAAGAATTTTGCTTGGTGATCAATTTTTTATTGATATTTATAAAGAAAACAACTAAAAAGAAAAATCAAAATTTGTTACCCCTAAATTTTTTTATATAAGGCTATAAAAAACAAATAGTTAACATATTTTGAAAGTTTTAAATATTAACACATAAAAATCGATTTTTTCAAACATTAAATTTGCAGTAAAAATTCCAGTTTTTCTTGATTATAAAATATAGAACAAGGAATTTTCGACCTGTTTAAAATATAAAATAAATCTAATTTTCTACTCAAAACCACCCATACCTATTTTTGAATATTAAAGCACTTTATTGATTACTTATCAATTATCATGTATGTGACACATCCATGAAAAAAATAAATAACACTATTGAAAAATCAATATATTCATCACCACTCAGAATCTTTAACTTATTTTCTGAGAATATTTATTTTTTTTAAAAATATTTTTCATTATTTTTGTTGAATAATGTTTCTAAGTTCTAAGCTTAAATCATTAATAATTATTAATATTATTAATTAAATTAATAATTACAATTCTTATATACACTTTTAAATTCAAATTCAATAAATTTTACATTTACTGAAGTAACAAACATTGCCATCACTTTTTAGTTAAAAATTAAACTATAATAATAGTAAAAATAATCCACAAATTATTTTTTTTCTATATCATCATAAATACATTTATGTTGATAATATTTATTTTGATCAGCTACTTTTATTTCATACATGTAAATATTTAAATTTAGTATTATTAATTTATTACGCAAAGACATAACATACATATTATATAACTTAAAATTTGACCACAATTTTGAAAATAAAATAAATTTCATTTTTTAATTAATTAAAATGTTCACACAAAAGCAAAACATTGAAAAAATAAGAATATACAAATTTCTTTAGTTGTTAAGGAAGCACTAATTGTAGCAGATCAATTCATAATAAAACAATAGTTACAATTTTTTTTTTTTTTGATTTTTATAAAGATAACATAAATACAGTACTTTAAAATTGAATTAAATAAACAATGTATGAATTTGCTTGGAACTTATAGTGTATAAACATAAATAAGTTACAACTAGTCTTAATTTAAATTTTACAGAACAGGTTTCTCAGAATTAAATTGAATAAACTTTTTACAGTATAATAATCATAGTTAAAAACAATTTATTGGTTCTGTCATACTAAAATATTGTAGAGCTTTCTGTAGACAAGATTCTTCAATGTTGTAAATAGGATTAGTTTTATTCAAAATGTTTTCTGGTTTACCTATAACACAATTACTATTGTTAACTGCATGTTGAGCTATAGATAGGCCACTAAGAACATAGCAAGTATGGTACACATCAGGTGGTTTTCCAGGTTTATCAATTAGGCCTCCACTATATCTATTCTGGCAACATATAAGTACATATTCTTGGAGAGCTTGATAATCATACATTGACCACATTGGCCGTTGATTTTCAGATTCTAAAAGTTCTGATATAACTGGAAAAGTAGCAGCTTGCCAAAAAGAATAGCAACCGTCTACAAGCTTATTTGTTCGCCCTTGGAAACCACCTTCAAACGACATCTGTTTATTAGCTACCCATCGAAGAAGTGATTTTGTGTCACACATATGAATAGATTTAAGTAACAATAAAGCTGAAAATCCACAAAATGTATATCCACCATGAGCTTCTACTCCAGGCACCCCACCAAAGCCTCCTTCATATGTTTGGCATCTGATAACCCACTGAGCACTTGATTGAAACAAACTATCTGTATATATGTTGGTTAAGCGTGCCACAGTTGCTGAACAATATACAGCACGAACATCACATTCACCATATTTGTGCATTCTAAATGAACCATTAGGCAAACGAAGAGATATCAAAAATTTATATAAATTCTCTCGATTGATTACTGCATATGCTTCTTCTGTACCAATTAAACATAAAGCACAGACAGCAGCATATGTGGGAGCTAAATGTGGCATTTGATTTGGTCCACCACAAAACCCGCCAGATTCGTGTTGACACCTAAAAAATATATGTTAATATTTATCATTTAAGTTTCAGTATAATAACTTTTAGTTGCATACTTTGATAAGAATGAGACAACATTAGATTTCTCTGAAATTGACAAATTACAATTTAAGAGTGCAAGTGATTGACATAACCAGTAGCATAGCCATGGTCGGCTGGAGTCCAGGCATTCATAGTTTTCAGGTAGTGTAAACATATGATTTTTTATATAATTTATGTGATCTTGTTTGTACAAAACTGGAACTTCTGGATCACATTTTGCTTTGGAACAAAATGATTCAAATAATTTTTCAATTTTTCTTTCAACTTCACTTTGATTTTCAGATGTAATTGTTTCAACTGATTCATTATCTATTTTATGTCGAGCTACTGCTAAAAACTTGTTCATTTCTAAAACATTAATCAATTAATTAATCTTTTAATAGCTTATTTGTTATGCGTATATCAATATTTTAAGGAAATTATTTTCTATATATTTAACATTAGATTCATAATTGTTTAGAAGTAAAAAGTAAATATTTTCAATTTGTATAGGTACTTCAACTTATTGATTTAATTGGTAAATGCTTGAAGTAAAATATACCTTCATTTATATAGTTTAATGTCTATTAAATGTTATTATTTGTATAATAGATATAAATAATCAATTCATATTAAATTAATACAATAAGCATAACTTATGAGAAGTGAATAAGAAAAGCATGTCAAGAAAAAAAAACCATAGTGATAAAAAAAGCTACAAATTGATAGTAAGACATTTTTTCCATTATGTATGTTTAAGTGCTATTATTTATGAATTTGTGATTTATAAATTAAAATCAGTTTGCTTACTCTTTCAGTGTTTTGTTATTAAAAAATGAATTGTGTTCATCTTATATATTAAATAAATAAGTTTTCTTTATCTACAAACTAAAAAAAAACAAAACAGTTCTGGTGATATTTATTTTAAAATTTCAATTTAATATATAAAACTTAGTAGTTAATATCTAAATTCTTAACTAATTCACATTTTATTTTGTTATCTATAATAGTTTTATCTAGATAGCCAAGTGCAAATCGGCATATTGCATAAGTAATCAATTTAATATAATAATAATTATAAATTTTTTTATATTAATATTATCATAGATAATAAATCAATATATTATATTATTCATTATTATTTTACATTTCTATCAGAGATTAAATAAAATATTTTCACATATCATGTAGCCTAATTCTAGTAGTCTTTATCTGTGCTCAAAGCCAAAAATGGCATATCACTAGAATGCTATTACAATTCATTTATAGGCTATAGTAAATATTATGAATAATTAAATACTCAAGATATTATGCTGTTTATACTTACCAATGTCAATGTGTTGATGGATTAAAATCTAGTCCAATTATCAAACTTAGTATTTTGAAATAACGTTTTAATCATAGAAATATAGAATAGATAAAATTTCAGTTTAAGAAAAATCATAAAAATATCATTTAGTAATTTAGTATCGATAAATTGACTGATCAATTTATTAATCTTAGTAGTATTTTGCAAATGATCAGTAAGAACAGTTTTTCATTTTTTCAAAGTGTTTTATTATTAATTATACGATGGTACAATCGTTTAATAAAATAATTAATAATATTTGAATTTGAAAATACTTATTATTAAGTTGGGTGCAGTTGTCCGAAAAATTATAAAGATAATATGATAAGCACAAAATGTATTGCCAGCATAACATTTTCAAAGGGAATTTGGGGCTGGCGTTGCCACTCGCTCGGATATTCAAAACAAAAAATTTCTCGATTTGCAATACCACCTAAGGTAGGTCACATGGTTAAAAAATAATGCCTATCATTTTGCTAACAATGGATGGTAATAATTTTGAATTATCTCATGTATCTTGGGTCTTAATCGTTTTTCAGACAAGTGCTTATCACTCTCATACCATAAATACATTAAATTGTTATATTGGTAATACGAATTATAAATTTGTAGAGAATTTATGTTGGTACATTGGTCGGGTTTTGAACTATTGTTTTGAGAAAAGTGCCCGATGCAGCATTTAAAATCTGTAACCGTCTGTACTCTGTACTTAATGTACCTACTGTCTATAGTTTTTAAATTCATGTCAAACGTGTTGATTGTTTAAAGTCACTATATTAAGTTTTTGGAGACCGCGGACATTATTTTTGCTTTTGGTTCGTATCTCAGTGGCGGAGTAAAATTAACGGATCCACGTTCAAACGGTAATATTCAATTTTTCGATTACCTAATATCTATCACTATGTTGAATTATCCTTATCATTGTTTACTAACACAATCTACTCAAACACTTAAACCTTACAACTAAAACTACTGACCGCCGTTCGTCGGCCGGTTAATAATTGTTATTATTAATTTTTTTTTGGTTTTGCTGTACGTTTATAAATAATATTTTGCGTCTTACATCTACATATAGTATTACATTGTGCGTAAAATGAGCGCCAAAAATCTATGGCTTTTGTTCATGTTCATTAGTCCTTCGTATTCAGAGACTTACAGTGAAGAATTGTTCATCAAACCCTTGGCCACTGGCTATGTGTACTCGTTCTTTCAGTTCACAGTCATTCGTGAAGACGGCTCTTTCAAGCATTCTACTTTATTTCCACACTCACTGGGAGACATAATCGATAGATTTCATGTAGCAGAACTCAATGTCGACCTTACATCTGGCTTATGGAGACATAAATCCTGGGGTTATCCGGCTGTCGACGCTCCATCAGGCGCTGAGATTTCTGCTCGTTTCCACAATGACACACAGGATGTGGACAAACACTGGTATGGTCTGACAAATGCATTGTCTGGTTTGTTGTGTACATCGTTGAATTTTATCAACAGTGCTAATAGCTATGAATCATCTGCTGACAGGGTTTACCGATATTCAAATTTACCACGTGAAAATGTTTGCACTGAAAATTTAACGCCATGGAAAAAACTTTTGCCTTGTGATTCTACTCGAGGCCTATCGAGCTTGTTAATTTCTGGTCGAGTACACAATGCCAACTATCATTCCTTGGGAATACATTTCAGGCCATTATGTAATGCAGGAAAATGTAAATACGAATTACGTCAAACTGTGTCTCTAGTATATGATTCAATATTTATAAGTTTCAACAACAACTATGATTGGTCTCTTCGTAAAATGTTTGGCACTGGATTGTTCAAGACGTGTCCTTTGGCAGATTACAGTAAAATTTATTTAGATACATCATCAAATAGTAGTGTTCCTTATTTGATTTCACAAGAACCAGACTACATTTTGAAAAACAATATTGCTGTTTATAATCTAAATGGCATATTTCATTTGTCTGCTATAGTGCCTAGACCAAAAATAGTTGTGTCTGAATTAAGACCATTATTGTATACAGACAGATTTATTACTGGATTTGGACAAGAATATGGAGGGTTGGTTACTCGTATATATAATGACCATAAATCACCTATAACTGCCACTGTCATCGAGAATATCCCATGGTTTTTACCAATTTATTATCATACATTAAAAGTGACCAGCAATGGTATTCGTGTTATACCTAAAGCTTTAATATATAAACCTGGAAAAGGAAGATTACGAATTTATTATTTAGAAATAGTTTTAGAGCTTGCACCACAATCAGTTACAGAAATATCTGTTCAGTTTGATTATGTGTTCTTGAAGTGGCAAGAATATCCACCAGATGCTAATCACGGCTTTTATATTGGCTCAGCTATAGTGAAAGCAACAATTCCAAGACATGCTACTTCTCTAACATTTGATAAATCACTGATAATAGACAATCTAAATTCAACTGGATCCGATTATTTAATTTGTTTGAAAACAGAAAATTTCATAATTACCTTACCAACACCCGATTTTAGTATGCCTTACAATGTCATATGTTTAGCTTGTACTGTAGTAGCATTAGCATTTGGCCCTATTCACAATATTACTACTAAAAGATTGAAATTGACTACAGCTAAGTATGTGCCTGGATTAGCGTCTGTTGCACAGAAATTGTATGTATGGATAGAAAATATGCTTTGGCGTAAAAACACTAACAAAACAGGGAAAACAGCACCAGTTAAAATATTTGCTCCAGAAGAGTTGAGTTACCATCCAACGTTAGGTCATGTTTCTGAAGAATTCATGTTAAAAAAAGCTGATATAGAATCATAATTATTTAATACTTATTTTTATTGTAAATATTATTTATTTAATTTGAAGAAACAAATATAATGTTACCAAATTTATTTTTTGTGTACATTTTAAATCTAATAAATTAGTTTATAAAACAATGTAGGTATTTTATATAATTACACTTGTCATTTCTTTTTTTTTTTTTGTTATATTTAGGTATGTTTGCAAAAAAATACTTTCTCAATTTCATTAAATAATTCAATTTAAAATGTTAAATATTTGTGTAGATTTAATTAATTAATTTTTATTTATAAGTATAGTATATTTTAATTTCAGATTTTACATTATAATTAATCATATAATTCACTTTTCTTGCTATACTTTCATATCTTTTATTTATTATTATTTATTCTTCGTATTTGAAAGGTCTTAGTATATATTTAAATAGTCACAATACAATTATTTTGTGATGCGTAAAACAGTGTTTTTTTACCTATTAATTAATAAGATTTAAATTATATTATACATAAATATATCATTTGACTAATCATGATAATGCTAATAAATAATAATTGTTAACTATAATTAAATTATCATGGAGTTTGTATTTTATATGTATACCTTATATTTTAAGGTCTCAAATATTTTATATTTGAGGTCAAATTGTCAAAGTAAAGATTTTAGTTATTATCATATCAATAATTTAACTGGTTTATATTGTATTTATTTTTAAATAGAATATCTAATGGTTTATAAAAATTTCAAACAAAATTACTGACAATAAAATAACTATTACAATATGTTTATTATTTTCATTATTAAACCTTGTAGTAAATTACACAATTTAGTTTAATTAACCTTTCAAATATAATATTACTTGGTTAAAATTTCTTAAATAACAATAAAATTATAAAAAAAATCCTGAGAAAATTGTGTTCATAAATTAATTGTTGGACCTTAATATAGGTTAGGTTTATGAAATATCAAAGGATTATGAATAGCAGTACATAATATCTATATTTTTATTATTTTGATAGATATTCTATAATTTTGTTTTTTATCTTGTGTTTTAGTTAATTAATACGATTAAAATAATGGCAACTCTTGAAAAATTGATGTTGGACAAAATTCTTTTGAAGATGAAAAGGTTTAACATGAATGAACTTCAACAGCTATGTAAAATCTTACATCTGAACCTGGAATGGAAAGATATTATCAACCTAGTAACTGAATGTCGTATGCGTTTGAGTGTTGCAAACGTTGTATCAGTAGTACATCAGCATTTAAAAGATAGTGAGTTTATTGAAGAAACATATCATCGAGTAATGTTAGTGGACACCATATTCCATCAAAATAGTCAGTGGTGGACAGTGACTATTGATAAAGTTAACAAACAGTTGTTAGACAAGGAAATAATAAGAAATAATATTGAGGCAATGTTAAATAAATTGAATATTAAAGCAATTACATATGTTATGAAGTGTAATAAGTTGTTTTGGGTGTTAATAGACGTTAATAAAACGAAAAGAAAAAAAATCGCCTCAAAATTAAACAATCTATATTTTTTTACCATAGCTCCAGGAAAAGTGTTTCATGTATTTTACAAACCTCAAAATATTGAAAATAGACTGTTGAACATCGTCATAAAATCAGTTGGAGCCAGTAAATATAAGCCATATTCACTATCAGGTAAACATTTGCAGTCAATGGTAAATTTGTTGGAAGATAAAAATAGAAATAATGAAAAAAATATGGAAGTGCCAGTATTGGTTAACAATCACAAAGAGGAAGATGTTCAAGAATATGTTCAACAATTATTTGGAGAAAAATGCCGGGTACTTAACCAGTTTACAATAAACGTGGAGAGTGATTTATCAGTGTTCAGTAATAATAATCCAGCTGGTAAGATGTGCAAAACTAAAGTGGTTCTGAAAGGAGACAGTATAATTGATGGTGTTAAGGACATGATGTTGTCAGGTATATTGCAACCACCATATCCAGATTGGGCAACAAGGCTACCGGTGTTGGGTAAAAATTGTGTAAATATTAATATACGCCCTTAAATGAATGTAATTAACAAATTTTAGTTTTAATTGTATTTAAACATTTTACTTTGTTAATGTATTTGTAGTTTTATTTTTTTTTTATATGATTTAGTCTAAACATTCAAAATGATTACCTTGAAAGTTTAAAATAATTGTTTTTATTTTTTAAGACTACATAAACTTTTTTTAACATATTTTTAAGTGATTTTTTATAACATTTTTGAAAAGTTGTCCCTTTCGATATTCTAATTATTATTAAGTTAGAAATGAGTCTTTTAACTTGTAGTATTTATAGCACTCATACTTTGCTAAAAAATAAAAAAAATATAGAAAAAATTCAAAGTTTAAGCATAGATAATATTATCACCTTTAACTTGGTGATATGGTCAATTAACTTTAGTATTTATATTTAACAACATACAATTGATTCTACTGAACACAAAATTTTCTATTTCAATCGTAAATAAGACAAAAACAGCACATGTGAGGGTAGTGTCTTATTAATTCAAATTGTTAAACATCAGGAAAGGAAAAATAATATAAGGCCTTTAAATGACTCAAGAATTAAAAAACTATTTTCATTATTTATTAATCAAGTCATACTTATTTATTATAAAAATAATCTATACATTTGTCCATAAAAAAATATAATATTTACGAAACTTATAATATAAATGTATAACTCAAATCCTAACGTAACAATAGATCAACTATAAATATGTATATATACATATATACACACACAAGTCATGAGTATTAATATACATTTAATAATTTGTAGACAAAAAAAAACCACATTTTGCATGCTAGTCGTAAAACGGTATACAAATATTTAAACGGCAAATTCCAAAATTGTAAAAAAATACAAAATATTTTAGATTTTTCTTTTGAAATTTACGTTCTTATTTTCATTAATTTAGATTGTATCATTACAAAAACAATGTTAATAGATTTATAATACATATGTATGTGTGCGTGTGTATATTGTATTAGTATACATTAATATTATACATTTATAAATATTAAATATGTTATTCGTACGGTTTAGTAATTCGACATTTTTTTAATGTTTAGAAAAATAATAATGCATATATTATATTACATAAAATTATAAACGAGAATAAAAAATAGTTAGGCACTTTTGGTGGAGAGGTTGTGAGAAATAATATTAATTGTTAATTATTTACAATTTATTGTTACAAAAACATAATAGTAATAATAAAAACAATGTTTGGTTGTTATAAAATTATTAACAGGACATGCTAACTAATAACTAAATAGGATTTTTTAATTTGATGGAATGGCACAGTGTCGCGGAACATTGATATAAAGTTTTTGACAATTAAAAATTATTTTTTTTATATTAATGAACACAATTTATTTTTGAAAAAAAAAAAAAAAATCATTTACAACAAAAATAATTACATTTATTGCCGGATGCTTCATTCAGTCATTTATGAATTGGGGGAAAAAATACAATAAATTTACAAAATTTTAATGACAATTTTATACAAAGTATAAAATAAAGTACAATCGACCTATTAGTAGCACCAGATATATTAGCACTGGTTAAGTAATTATTATTAATTATTTATAAGGACTAGGTGGAATATTATAATAGGAGTACATACAGTCTGTATCAATCCAATGGCTATTAAATATTACGATAAACACAGGCGGCAGATATGGTAAGAGATCATTTTTCCAAAGGGAAATGAAATATGTTAAAAATAATGATTTATAAAATATTTTTATGCATTGGACAGTGGTTGTTGTTTTTTAATTCATCAATTCTACGGGCAAAATTATAACTAAGTAAAAAAAAAATTTAGAAAAAAAGTTGTCAAACTATCACAGAAGTTCATTTTTTTTTTTTTGTTTACATATGTAAATAGTTAAACATTAAGAAAAGCATTCAGTCTTCCCATACTAAATGGGTCAAAATAATAATAAACAAAATTAATTCTATACAAAATGAACATAAAAAAAAAAAAACAAAAATTGTCAACACCTAAGTTAGTAATCAACTTTATAGACTATAATCATCTTATGGAATGTTCTATAATGTTAGTTTATATATCCTCATACAGCAGTAGACATTGGCATATCTGGATCATCAATCTCACATACGTTGGTAGAAAGTTCACTCTGACTTGGATATCGTTGTGGAAAACCGTATGTAACTACATCATCATCTTCGCTACGGTAAGATAAGTATAACTCTTCGTCGAGTGTTTCTAAATCCCTGGCAGGATCTGTTGGGCAGTCATACATGATTTTAGTTTGAGGAGATATGAAATATGTCGTTCACTAACTTACCTATAATATGGTGGTGCACTTCATCGTTGCTGTCACTGTGGAAACTAGAGGAATCGGGCACTTCACTACCGGGAACTTCGCTGATATTGGGCAATGGGTTTTGGCTACGACGTACCCAGTCAGAGCAGTCCCAATGATAACCACCTAGTATTTTTGTGTCCTCTTCAGAACTGTGCATTGACATTCTTGGCACTCTGGTCACATCAGGAATTACTTTGAGGTCTATAAAAATGTTTTGGTAGAAATAAATTTATTATCTTCATCTCGAAATTGTGTGGTATATAGTGAATTTGTATTTAGCAATTCATTAAAAAAAAAAAATCAGAAAACGCTGCTGTATAGATAAGTTGATTAATGTAATATAAATTTTAATAATTTGATTTTTTTTTTTCGTAGTGAACTTTTACAATTTTACTTTATTAATTATTTATAATATATTTTTAAATTCTAACCTTTACCATTCATTATTTTGTTATTGCTACCACCGCGGTTTAAGTTGCGTAAATAATCAAGTGGAACATTTTCTAAGTCATCACCAGCTGAACCATAGCTCCTTAGAGTGTCTAAATTGTTAAGTTGATTTGCAGCTACAGTAGCCATGTAAGCTGCGTCGGGGTTGCTTGCTATAGCTGTATAAGATACTGGCCGCTAAGAAAATTAATAGAAAATTGGTATGATAAAAAGAAAAAGAAAAAACAATTTTATGCAATGTCATGTAAAAAAATATACCTGAGCAACTTCTAAGTTACTGATTTTTGCAGTTCTTTTGAATTCTGTGTTTAATACATGTATATTCTTGTTGCGACGGGCATTTCGACGTTTCACGCGACACTTTCTAGTGGTGCAATTAATATAATATAAAAAAATAGAAATAAGTATTATCTTAAATATAGTCGAACACAGTTAACAACAAAAGAATTACTGACCTGCATATGATCAATGCACATATGACCATGATGATAAAAACCAAGGCAGCTGAGGCAGCAGTTAGTTGAATCCAAGTTATGTGCAAGTTAGATAATATTGGGGGCCAACAGGCAATTTCATTGCCAGCCAAGCAACGGTCGCCAACGCCACGTGGCTTGTCACACTTGTATGTTCCATCAATTTCATTATCCGGTACACAAATTTCGTCTATGGAGCACTGACACTCTGATGTCATTTTATTTTCACATCGTTTACCAACAAAACCTAATCGACAAGCGCAATATGGTTGATGGGTATGTGCAGGCGCCACAAATGTCATCATGTCTGTAATTATTGTCTGCACTTGATCTGCTAGCCAAGTAATACGTTGACTACACACACCTTGGCCAGGCGTACAATTACAAGGTAGTACGTTATTTGATATGACCAAACCAGCCTTTTGAAGGGCGTTGTGCATGGTATTTAAATCAGTTCCCTAGAAAACAAAATTCAATTAATTAGATAATAGCCAATAGGTAGTGATGTTTCATAATTCAACATATAAATTTTCAACTTACGCCTCTGATGTAAAGCAAGATGTCTAAATTGCCTTGAGGAGCATCCTGGATGCTGATCAAGTTTACATCCTTACCCAGATTCAATTTCAACGTACGCATCAACAATTTCTTTTGACTGGATATGAAATGTTGCGGTGTAACAGACTTTAATCTATAATAAAAATTTAAAAACATTGAAGTTTGTCTAAAAATCAATATTTTTTATTGATTTATGTATACCTTATACTAATGGCTTCATTTAGCATGTCATCAGTCAACGAGTCTACAACCACATTAACTATGGAATATGACCAAAATTTACCATCACTGACAGATACATTAATGGAATATAAGCCAGCATCTAATCCTTGTGGTGCTCTTAACTCTCCTGACCTCTCTTCGATTTTGAATAGTTCCTTATTGTTCATCAAATAATATACTAATGTATCATATTCATCTTGGTCAGTGGTATGTATGTGTCCTAATGATCCTCCTTCCCAACGGTCTTGCCAAGATCCTACCCAGACTTCTAGAGGTGTTATAATAGGCGGAAACTGTGATTCTTCGATTACCTAGAGAAAATTATGGTGCAGTTAGAAATTAAATTTATGGTGAAAAATTTTAGTTTACAAAGATAAATTTATTCAAATCAATTTTGGCTTATATAATTTAGAATATCAATTGCATATAAGTGATTAAGATGCATAGTTGAATTATTAAAGTTAAATGTTAAACTATATGTTATATATTTTTTTAAATTATTGTGATTTACATTACTCAAAGCTTTGGATTTTTATTACGTAAGTAATTTTAATAATTAATTTATAAAAAAAATAAACATATACCATGTTCATTAATTATTGTTCATATTTACCTTAATATGAAGCCATGTATCAGAATGTAGATATGGTTTGCCATTGTCAAATACACGTATTACTAGTTTATAGTTTTGTTGGAAACGATGGTCTAGTTGTGCAGCTGTCTTAACTGTTCCATCAGGATCAATACTAAATGCATTGCCATCAGAACTGTTGAGTATGTCGAATATGAATGGCCCACCATTTGGTTCTAAGTCTGCATCTGTCACAGAAAGTTGGCAAACAATCCAACCAGGTTTTTTATCCTCCTGGAAAGTAGATATTACATTATATTATATGTAACTGAAGGTTGGTAAAATTAAGATAAAAATTATTGTGGGAAGGGGGTGTTATAATCAAAATTAATAATAAATGCAAATTATTTTATATAGAGAAATTCCATCGCATTCTTTATTAAAACTTCAATGTTATAATATCAATTTTTCTTCTTTGTTCTACTATTGTAATTTTATTTATAATTTCTTCATTATTAATTGTATTTGTTAAACAATATATATGATTCCCAAATTGAAAAACCCCTTTTATAGCTTAAAT